TGGAGAAAAGAAGACCTTCGCTGAAATGTAAGTTTTAAAATTGTAACCGTAGCATCTAGTCATATTTCATTTTAAGATTTTTTTAGGTATTTACCAAAAAATGCAAGATCGACAACTTAATTTTGAGGGTAAAATAACGACTTTGAACAAACTTTTGAAACAAATGGGCTTTAGGTCAGTATTCATACACACTATAAGGTTTTCGATTTACAACGCTATAAATATAATTTATATCTACAGATGGAAAAGAACTACTGATAATAAAAGAGCTCTCATGGAAAAATATGAAATTCGCTTGAAGCGAATCGAATATCTGAAGCAAATTATGAAATATAGAGCTGAGAACAGGAACATAATTTATACGGATGAAACATATATACATTCTAGTCATACCCCAAAAAAAGGATGGTCAGATGACAATTATGACAAGGAACTAAAAACGCCTTTATCAAAAGGACAACGAATGATTATTGTGCATGCTGGTGGAGAATTCGGCTTTATTCCTAACGCCTTGTTGATATTCAAATCAGGTATTATTTGTGTTACAATGATGTAAAATATTTCCAATATATTTTTACATTTACTGGATTATATGTATGTATTTTATTTTCAGGCTCAAAATCTGGGGACTACCACAACGACATGAATCATTTGAACTTCATGAAATGGGTAGAAAGCCAATTGATCCCAAATTTGCCTGAAAATTCTGTGCTTGTAGTTGACAACGCTTCTTATCACAATGTCCTGGAAGAAAAAAATGTAACGTCTTCTAGCCTGAAATCAGAGATGATTGACTGGCTAGAAAAACATCAAATTCCTAGTGAAAAGTCATTGACTAAGGCCGAACTATATAAAAAAATACAGGAAAATAAAAGAAGATTTCCAGTCAAATACAAGCTAGATGCCTTAATGGAACAGCACGGGCATAAAGTTTTACGACTGCCTCCATATCATCCGGAGCTAAACCCAATCGAGAAGATTTGGGCTCTCGTAAAAAACTGGGTTGCTCCACGAAATGTGACATTTAGGTTGTCTGATGTGGAGCATCTGACCCGTAGCAGGTTTGAAGAAATTGGAGCAGATGAGTGGAAGAAAATTTGTAACCACGTGAAAAAATATGAGCAAGCACAAATGGAAAAAGAACATCTTCTCGACGATCAAATGGATACGTATCAATTCAATGTGAACACAGAGTCATCATCAGAAGATAGTGACGAAAGCGACTCAGATGAAGATTTGAAGCTAAACACACTATCATCTGATAGCGATTAGATTTTTTAATGATAATATATAATTTGAATTATAACCGTCTTTAGTTTGCTCCCTCTTCTAATTCAAATTTGCTTCCGAACAACTTAATGCGCATACTAAATGAATATAATAATACAAAAATCAATTAATGATCAATGTCTACACAACCTATTCACTTTATTTTATACTTCAAATAAAATAGAACGCCACTGCGCTCTGTCGACGACCGCGTGATGAGCGGACCCGCCCACGATGACGTAGCGGTCATATACTAAGAGCGTTCGAACCATAACATATTTAAGATATAGAATTGTTCCGCTGAATTTGGCAATGTAGCTGGAAAACCCAGGCCGCAGGTAAACATCCGGTCGCTGATTGGTCCAAAACTCTTATCTTATCTGAAACTAGAATAACGTGCCGATGGCACGGTCATTTATAAACCTACTCCCATAGGCGTAGGCAGTTGGCAAATACTTTGAAAATATAATTTACTGTTTAGTGGTGATAATGGAATTCAAGCATGGGAAAGTTATTCACAGCCAGGCAAGGGAAATAATAGCAAACGTGATACGTGCTTGCGATGCAGAAGCGGCTAACAATACTTTCGTTTATCCACTGGTAGCTAGAAATGCAAGGGCGGCATATTATACGGGTGTTAGTGAACGAACTATAAGTAAAATTAGAAAAGAAGATAAAGACAGGCAAAATGCAACCTCCACACAGCCTTTAGCTTCTCCCGGAAAAAAGAGATCACGCCCTTCTGTGATCCAAAAAATTGATGGAGTCGATTTTTCCATTATTCGGAGAATGATAGAAAAATTTTACTGTGATTTTAAAGTGGTACCTACTTGTAGTAAACTTCTAATCAAACTGAAGGAAGAAATGGAATTTCCATTTGGTAAAGAATCGTTGAGGCTGCTTTTAAAAGCAAAAGGATTTTACTGGCGTAAATGCCACAACAAAAGGAAATTACTAATGGAAAGACCCAGTATTTTACATTGGCGATACAAGTATCTTAGGTCTATTAAAAAGTTCCGGGAAGAAGGAAGGCATATTATTTATTTGGACGAAACTTGGGTTGATAATGACCTCACTTTCAAGAAATGCTGGCAAAGCGAAGAAATTATGGGTGTCCTGAGCAATATAAGTTCTACAGGTAATAAAGTTTCTTTCACCTCGATTTTGCTTATTATACATTTTTCTCAATTTTGGAATATTCTTAATAAGTGCTCATTTAATTTGTCTAATTGAATACATAATCCCTTGCAAGTATTTTTTTCTCAAAAATATGTTTTTTATACATAGTGATTCAAAAAGGTGTTGGCAAACTTAAAATAACACTAAAATGAGGCTATTTATTCATTTCCAGGACGACTTATAATTGTTCATGCGGGTTCGCAAGATGGTTTTGTTCCTGGAGCCTGTCTCATTTTCAAGGCTGGCTGTGCCACTGGTGATTATCACGGTCAAATGAACCAAGAAAATTTCACGAAGTGGCTTACTGAAAAACTATTTCCTAACATTCCTCCTAATAGTATTATAATAATGGATAATGCACCTTACCATTCAGCTTTGGAAGACAAGCCTCCAACTAGATCTTCTCTAAAAAGAGACATCATCACGTGGTTGAGCAAAAAAGGTATAGAGCATGATCCTAATGCTAAAAAAATGGAGCTTTATGAAATAGCTTGTCTACATAGGCCACCATCTGATGAGAAAAATTATAAGATAGATAATTTAATAAGAAGTTTCGGACACACCCCACTTCGAACGCCACCCTATATGTGTCAGTTTAATCCCATAGAGATGATTTGGGCACAAGTAAAATTTTTCATTAGAAGCCATAATACAAGCGGCGAATTTACTATAAAAAAACTAGATGAAATTTCTAATAAGGCCATCGCTTCAGTAAGTGCCAGTGACTGGCAAAAGGTTATTGGACATGTTATAAAAATTGAAGATGAATATTGGGAAAAAGACAGTCTCATTCAAGAAATACAGGAAGAAATAATAATCAACATAGGAGGTGAAAGTGATAGCAATGACAGTTCCTCAGACAGTGATCATGACTCTAATCAGGATTGAAACTATACTAGATTGGCTACCTTTTAGAATTTTTAGATATTCATTTATTATACTATTGGTTTGTGGCTTTTAGTATCTCAGTAGAAAGTCTAATTCTATGTGTTGTTTATGGGTTATTTCATCAAGAAATTACTTTTTGTTTTCCTATATTTTTCTATTCAGTCAGATATTTTTGACTTGTTGTATTCTATTTTAGAAGAATGCATAATTTGTTTTGCTGTTCAATCATAATGCGTACATAGGAATATTACTTGTTGCCTAAAAAATATATTTATTTTGTTCTCAATATTCAGTGTTTGTGTATATTTATTTCTTATAATGTATGTTTGGTATCACGTCATTATGAATCGCAAAAAAATATTAATACTACCAGTTGTAATAAAATATAAATTCAATTAATAATTCAAGTCTCTCCGATCTCCGCCTATGACTCCATATAAAATCGTCTAATGGTAAGGTTTTTTCATCGCATTTCCCCCTTTCGTCCCTAGCAATCTTTGGCTGGTCGATCAATATATATATATATATATATATATATAGGTGAAAAATTAAAGCTTCCGCCTTTTGTTGAGTACTTCGACAAAAATTTTAAGCAAGGAGGACTCTTTATACTTTTTTTATTCTCTCTAGCTTTCAATGGACTTTGCCATCATCATCAGGAGCTGCAATTACATTGATAACAGTAGCAACAATAGTAATTGCAGCTCCTGATGATGGCAAAGTCCATTGAAAGCTAGAGAGAATAAAAAAAAGTATAAAGAGTCATCCTTGCTTAAAATTTTTGTCGAAGTACCCAACAAAAGGCAGAAGCTTTAATTTTTCACCTAACTGGTCTAGACGACAATGATCACGTCTCAAGTTATATTTATACAGGGTGACTTTGAAGTTGAGTCATTAATTTTCAGATAATGATTGTAGAAGGAAGATAAATCAAAATATGTGTGTAAAAATTTTTTTACCTTGTTTTATAAAGTATCCTTCCGAAAAGTATTTCAGTGCGAACCTGTATTTGATCGTGAGGTCCCCTGTGAGGTCTTAAGTCACCTGATTCACGAGCCCGTTGTACTACATTAACAAAGGCACGAGGGGTTGGTTGCACTCGATTGGGAAACCGATCCGCATAAACATTTGCCATTTTTTATTTCGTTTGAGCCACGCAACAGCCACTATTCACACGCGTTAGCGACTGACACTGACTGTATGTATAACTGAACTGAATAAAATAATTGTAAAAACATCGTTCCAAATTCTTTCGCTTTTTTGTTTCCTATGCGATGAACCGATAAGGCGGATTATATCCGTTGTTGCCAAACACGAGCACATGATATTATTATTGAGACAGGGCGGTACTCAAACTTCCAAAGGACTATAACTTTGTTACTTTAATTTTACCAGAAAAATGGTAAAGGAAAAAAACATTTCTTTTGATCAGATCTACTCACTGTTAAAATAAATGACTCAACTTCGAAGTCACCCTGTATATATATATATAACTGAATAAATGACTAAACTGGTTGAACCGCAAAAAAAAATAAAACAAAGTAGCATTGTCATGTTTGGAAAACGAAGATTTTTAGAAAACCGTACGGCGGACGTGTTGGTATTGCTAAAATCCATCGTTGAACTTCTAAGGTCAGTTCTATTGTTATATTATGTTATATATAATGAAAAAATATGCTTACGAATCGAATCGGTGAATGACCTAACCTAACATTACGCTACATTGCAACATAATACGTGCAATAACAATCGGTTTTCACGATCACGGCAACTACGAATCGACAGATAACGATTATAAATATCATGTCCGTTCGAAGATATGATTTTTTTTCATTTCCGCGAGGAAAGAAATCCGCATCTTATTAGAATTGCAAAAAAGTACAAATGCCGGCACCATTAGCATCACAATGGCGGGTTTGGGAAATCGGAAGTGTCGCTCCGTGTCTATACGTGAACAATGTGAAAATAAAATAAATATTATAATGAATTCATTTAAAACGAGGTTTCGTTTTTTATCTATTGATCGGCGAAGAAGCTAAAAAATGCAAGCTTTGCTCCTCTCGCGCGCGATGTACCTGCCAGACAGATACGCCTGACTGGATTTCCATCCTAGCCGTGTCAAATTTAGTACGGTGACAACAACTATACAGGGTGGCGCATCGAAAACGAAACAGACGCATTTACTGGCAGCTCGATTTCTTTTTTTTAAAAAACGCTCAGACCCGTCGATTTTGTTATCGAGGGGGACACAAGTTTGGCAAAAAATCACGTTAGCACGTGCAGCCCCCTAAGCGGGGGTGACACCATCCCCAAAATCTTAATGGAAAGGGGGGTCGAATGATACCTTATTTTAAAGGTATTTCAATTCCCTTTATAATGATATAAAATTAATGTACTTCAGTTCAGTAGTTTTAGGGTAGATTTCGCTAGGATTGTCAAATCAACAGTCCGTTATTCTCCACCTATAGGGTAACAGTCCGTGCGAATGAGCTTCAAGTTCCAATCAACATATGATTTAGCAAATTTTAAAAAAGTGTTCGATTTTTTAATAAAACTCATGTTTTTATTTAATATTGTCGATTGTATATTCATGTTTATATTATTTTCTTCAATTGATAGGCGATTTTACTGATTCAACATCACCTACCGTGTGTTTTTTCCTATAAAGGTCTTGCAGATAGCCATTAAACACCTACTTGATGACAGACTCTACCAAAAATCTCATAGATGTTGCTCGTTTCCAAACATTAATTCATTTAATTGTCGTTTATCAGTACCAATACTCAAATATATGTCGTAAAGCTACCGGCAAACTTAAAACCTGCAAAAAAAACAGAATTTACAATAACTTTCTTGTTTTACTGAGTACACATTCTAGGTTATATTTATATTAGACTTTATTTGAATAACAGCTGATTATTACATTTCAAAACTCCCCAACGAGTGACACATGTCAACCTAGGTCCCAGTGGAGTAAGCTCCGCCAACTGTTGAAATATACTGTACTATGCTTAATAAGACTATACGCGGAATTTTTCCCAAAATCGTTGCACAACACTTGAAAAAACGCAAATGGAAATTAAAAATTATTTCCATGACGCCCCAAAATAGCTCCGTCGGTATCTCGGGTTATACAACTTGACAGTAGGGATGTTCGGTACGATCCTATATTTAGAAGTATCGATACATTTGCTTCCCATACCCGATATTTAGGATCGATATTTTTATATACGACACTTGGGTGTATCGATACATTTCACGAGTATAGTCATCGTTCGATCCGGACTGTGTCAGAAAGAGTGACTAACTTCAGATTACTTTTCTTCTTTGTTTCCTTCCGCGGGATATCGATATTTTTATTCCAATATTTTAGAGTACCGATACTTCCTAAAACGATAAGAATCGATACATATCGATACTTTTCGTGGATCTAAACATCCCTAATCTTGACCGCTTGTCGTTCTTGTCAAATGGGCTGCAGGGTGCGGGGTTGCCTTTACTATCTTACATTTATTTAAATAAAAGCCTCAAATAAAATATTGACGAATATGAACGGATATACATAGAATTTAGAATATAAATTCATATTGCAAATTTCAGATTGTCTATGTATGGACTTAAACCGGATTTTTCGGTATTTTTACAGAAAAGTCAATATTTACCGATAACATCATTCTCCATTGTGTTGTCATAAATAATACTTTTTCTAACTTTACCAATATCATATCTGGTGTTCCACAAGGATCTGTTTTGGGACCCTTGTTATTTCTAATATATATAGCAGACTTGCCTTCTGTAGTAGCTAACTCTACAATACAGTCATTCGCAGACGATGCCCAGTTGCTCTATTTTCGATCCACATGATCACCAAGCAGCCGTCGAGTTACAAGAGGATATTGATGTATACTAAGTGACATATAAATCCGAACACCCAGTTTAAATGGTTTTATTTTAATAAAATTTTGTATAAGTACTTAATGAAGCATAATAAGTAAATGATAAAAATTTCAAAATGATTGCACTACTTTAAAGCCCTTTGACCTTTAATAATGTGTGGATGCACCCTGATGTGCTACGCATTCTCCAACTCGCTAGGCATGCTTCTGATCAGGTGGTCAATGTCCTCCTGTGGTATCTCATTCCAGGCAACCACCAACTCCTCTTAAAGTGCTTCTAGAGTCTGAGGAGGACGTTGCAAATTGAGCAATCTCCTACCCATCATATCCCACACGTGCTCAATTGGGGATAAGAAAGAAGTCTATTGTGACTCTTGCAACATGTGGTCGGGCACTATCTTGGATCTGCCAGGGTGTCAAGATAGGGTAAAAGATAGGGTTCTAGAACTTCGTGGATATAACGCTGCGCGTTCATGTTACCTCTGATGAATATTAAAGGTGACCTGGAACCATAAGCTATAGCACCCCAAACCATAACTCCAACAGTGTGATGAACATGTCTTTCAACAAAAAACTGTGGATTTCTCCTTTCACCACGTCGCCTTCTAACCCTGGCACGACCATCGTGCATGCCTAAACAAAATCGAGACTCGTCACTAAAGACAATACTGTTCCTTTCCTGATCCCAGAGTGACCGTCGTCTGCACCACCCAAGGCGATTGCGTCGGTGTTCTCGAGTTAAAGGGAGGACCCAGTGTGGCCGGTATGAAAACAAGCCAAAACTTCTCATTCGTCGGTAAACACTTCGCATGCCAATAGGTCTTCCGTGTTCTGCAAACCATTCATTTACAATGGACCTGGTAGTGGAGAAACGGTCTCTTAAGGCCAATAATCTTAGGCGGCGATCTTCACGGTCTGTAATATAGAATCATGCCCTCAAAAAAACATGTTGCGTGCGTGCCCAATACAATAACAGACGTTTGTCATGAATCAAAGGTCCTTGATCTACCACAGATCTTGTGACAGTATTTTCCTTATAGCGAATTCAACGACACTATTTACCGATTCCTATTTTATTTTGCCGGTTTAAAAGCAATTGATATCCCAGACGTGTTATAATAATAGAAATAACAAGAAAATATAACAATGTTTGGAGATATATTTTTATAAATAGGTATTTTTGATTCTGACTTTTAATATCTAGACGAATAAAAGGTGGATGCGGATACTTTTACAAATATCGATGTTTTAGGACCCAGAAATTCAGAATGTGTCGTTTGTTTACATTTGGTGTGGATTTCTAGATCATAAATTGGCAGAAATTGTTTTTGATGTAACAAAATATGATGAACCAGTTGGAATACGTTTTATATCCTTTTTGTTGTACAACAACCCTACATCCTAGAAATGTAATAGCTAGATAATCGACCTATTATTTTTCTCATTTTCATTTAAATAACTGACCGACTTTTGTGAAATGATAAAAATTTGAAATTCTATGAAAGTTATCCTAATTCTAAAGCACAAAGACATAATATTACATCTATAATGTACCCTTATTTATAAGTCAACCGCTTTTTCTATTGATCCAACTGATCGTCAGATATTAATGTAGGTGAAATTGGCCCTATTCTATTTATTAATCAAACGTTCTTTTTGACCTGTTTTGAACCCAATGCTTGAACATCCAACAAATTGCATTAGGAACCCAACCTTATTATCATACCAACAATGTATATGTGCACAGCTACTAACATTCCATCCTAGGGCGTTAAAATACCCGGCAAAACATGACGTTATGTAACCCTCGATGGCGGCGTTGCACTTTCGCAATCCTTTCTTTGACCAGAGAGTAAGTGCATTCAGACGTGTTTTACTTTCTATTTGACTTGTACGGCCGAGGCCGGCCGCCTCTTAGATGGAAATGGGTAATAAAGTTATCGGTACATATATTTCCGACTTCTCAGGTTTGCCATTTAACGCTAATGAATGACATACTGCCGGCATTTTTCCGTAAGCGAAGAACAACTGTCATTTGTTAACGAATGGAATGCAAGACTAAGGTATACTTTATCTGAAGTCACTTGAAATAGCATAAAAACCTTTGGTCGGCGCGTCCTTTGTAATTTCATGACGTATCATAGGCGTGCGGTCATTTATTTAGAACGATAATAATAATGTTTTTATATCACAACAAATGGATTTTACTATCTTCTTATTTTTTTGATTTGCGATAAAAAATACTTATATTGCGAGTTTAATTTATGTTGACTGAAAGTTAAGAAATGGAAAAATTACAGAATTCCAACGTTTGACATAGGCAAATATTTACATAGCAGGTAGGTATATAAAAAGGTATATAAAGACTTACATTATAGGTATTTATATATCATCCTCGCCTTCGGAGCTGTCGCTAGAGTCATCTTGTAGAGGAATTACAACGGGATTTACAGGAGGTAATACACAATATTCATTTTCTTTTTCAATAATATGCCTAGAACACTGCTTCCATAGGACTATGGCAGCAATATGAGATACTGCATCTCTTATTGTGGCCAATAGCGATTCACTTAATTGAGGGGTCTGATTATGTTTTCTTACTTTTTTTTTTAAAGCAGCCCAGACCAACTCAATCGTGTTAAAAATGCAGTAATAGGGAGGTAGACGTAATACTTCATGGCCATTTTGCTGAAGCAGATTGTCAACAACATACTCTTTTTCAAATTTTTGTCTTTTAATAAGATCCAATAATATGGCTTTGGTTGATTTTTGTGGTATTTCCATTCCCTTATCCATC